CCTCGGCTACCAAGGGGACGCCGTAAAAGTGAAAATACCAAAGGAAAAGTAGTTCGCCACGGAAATATAGACGAATCTGGTGAAATGGTTGTGTGCATTTCAAGAAAAGTGCAAAATTAATGAAAACATCGGCATAAATAGCATGAATTTCCGATTTTTGAACTAGTAACAAATATGAAAGCAGTCAGAAGGATCAGAGACCAACATGTAAAACTCCGCCTTTAAATATGCCAACTGTTCAATCATATGACATCATACATCATTCCTCCACTCCAAACCTATACCTAAGGTTGCAATTGTAACGACTTAATCAATATCTCAATGTTTTAGCCATATTTATAACCTTCCAATCATTCCACACGCCAGCAATAACACCATACTTAAGATAGCAGATGTTCGCGAAACCAAGTCCTTTTGTTGACAAATCTCAGAAAACAGTAAAATATGTCATTGAAGTAAAATTGAATTTATGTCAGAGGAGGGAAAAATTGGTGTGTGCAGCCGAAAAAAATGATGGTAGATTCTATGCATAACTTAGAATATAACCAGCAAAACAAGTTAGACCTGTCAATAAAGTCATTTAACAAAATGACTGTACATACCAAGACTATTAAGGTCTCGCAGTAATGCAGCAGTGGAGTTCTAACTAAATGTAACAAACTGAACAGAGACAAATGCATAGGGAACCGCAGTGAGATCTTACTTTAGTGCAGCGTTCAGTAGGAGCATAGGGCCGCACATCCCATATACGGAGGGTATTGTCCATTGCGTTGGAGAGGAGAAAGTCACCATCAGGCGAAAGCGCCAGGCCTGTCACAGTGTCGGTGTGACCCGTTAGTCGCATCGCAACATCCAGCTTGCGCAGATCCCAGCCCTTGATGATGTTGTCAATGCCACCGGAGAAAATCATCTCTGCGGTATCGCTAAATGCCACGGCGAGCACCTGAAGTAGTGAGGAAAGAAATAGGAAACAAGAGAATGGATAAACCTGATTGCACATACGAACCTGATATGTGTTCTGAAAGTTTTGGACTTCGGTCTTTTGGCGCCGATCCCAAAGACGCACAGTTCCGTCATCAGAGCCAGAGACAATCATTTGAGGTCCTCTACGAGCAATGTCCACACTGTTTACAATGTTCTGGTGGCCACGTATCTTCTTGACACGTTGACAGGTATTAAGATCCCAAATGGCAACAGTCTTATCCGAACTAGATGAATATAGAAATTCTCCGTCGGAAGACAAGGCCAAATTCAGAACAGCTCCACCATGACCTGCATATTTTGAGGACGTTAGTTTCTGCAATCGCAAAAAAGCATACCGGCCATTACGGCTACATTATCACATTGCCCATATGTTTCCCAAACAAATATTTGCCGATCAAACCCAGCACTGACAAGGTAGCTCCCTTCTGTTGGAACAAATTTAACACAGTATACTTCGCTCTCGTGACCAGTGAGAAGCATGTTTGGACTCAAAAGGCTTGAGGTGCGTCGCATACTACCAGGCATCCCGGCGGGAATAATTTGACTCTGTGCAGACCTTTGAATTTGATTCAAAACAGGCACTCTATAATCATCGGTTTTTGGCCGTTTGTTTGGCACTGGAACCATTGACATTGCTGGAAAAGATCGTTTAAGATCCATTGCCATCTTGCCCCAGCGAGAACGATCTCAAAGCTTTAATTGGTTAACTGAAAGGATTCGAATTTGATCACTACTAAGACGCATAAAGAAACAACA